TACATTTAGTAATATGGATTAAATCTCAAAAAAAAGTCTTCAAGACAAAACATTATTAGAAGTATATAACCAGCAGCTGAATTATCTGAAGATCAAGAAGACTGATAGAAGCTTCTTAGTAGCTGCCTGGGTAGGTACAAGGGTGGAGGTGCAGAGGTCAAGCGATGGGGTGAACACAATCAAGGAGAGAACTCTGTTCACCAGAAAGCTGTTCAGATGGCAGAGGCTTGTCACACAATGGGACACAAAACCGCCAGACACAGATGACAGAGTGACACATGCAAGGCAGTGAGTGACCAGCAAATTGTCCATGGTTTGAACACAATGTTGAAATATCCAGTCTCTGCAGTCACCAGAGAAACAGAAACTAGAACAAGACAGCCCCCTCCACCTAAGAAGATCGACTAGGCGATGCTAGTAAGAGCCATATTACACAAGCTGTGGAGGGTCGGGGCATCCAAGCACCCAAGAGCTGCCGGTGGATGAGAATACTTCAAGATACTCACTAGAACTGAAGATGCACAGCTTTGTGACACAGTGGTGTCATGGCAAGGGCTGTATGTGCCTGTGTGTGTGCCCCTGGCACATTAAAGAATGTTCACCACAGAATTCTAAGTAACAGTCCTCAGTGAGAACACAGCATCCGGCACAAACCTCAACTGTGCTTTACATCCAACGGGAACTCCAATGTATAAACTGCTAGACTATTCTCACAATACTCAAAAGCAGTGGGGTTATAGTCGAATTCTGCTCACCTAAACTCTAAGCTTTACAGGTTTATTATGAAATAACGACTGCTAAGATGTTTACTGTACACCATGTGCCATTCTGCACCATGTTTATGTGCTTTAACCCAATTCTCACAACCACCTCTCTAAGGTATCAACAGAGTACTCCCAATATGCAAATACAGGCACAAAGAGCTTACATAATTTAACAAGCCCACAATAACTAAGTACAGTGAGAGCTGGGAAATACGCAGCTGGCCTAGTGTGTGAGGGTGTGTATTTAAATATTCACCATGCTGTGGTTCAATGACAGAATGTAATAGCAAAATGGAGGGAAGACAAATGTATAGGAGGCGGGAGGACAGCTAGGATCCACATTTTAAAGAGAAAATCAGTAGATAATGTCTAAAATTGGTGGTGGGAGTGGGAGGAGGGGTGCAGTGTGTGTGTGTGCCTGTGAGGAACTAAGGAGAGATCAGAAAATAGCTGCACACCATGGCAACAGCGGTTGCCTCTAAGAAATGGGTCTAAGTAGACAGGGCTGTAAGATGAATTTAAAAGCCCTAGGACCATTCTCTTCTGTAAAACTCCTGCTCCTCTCCACCCCACCCCACCCAGTCCTAGAGGAGCTTGTTATGTAGTCCAGGCTGGCCTGCAACTTCCCATCCTCCTGCATTCACTTTCCTAGAGACCAAGCACACCGGGGATACAACTTACAGGATGCCTGCCTAGAACGCTGAGTCCTTCTGTTCAATCATGAAGCATTTAAAAAAAAAAAAAAAAAAAAAAACAAGATATAGTAACAGCTGTGTGATTTATTGACTCCAATATCTCTACAACTCTTTGCTTCACACTTAACCTGCATTATTTTGAATCCTCCCAACAATAAGGGGATGGTCCCACTAACCTTTACTTTGTTGAAGAAACAGATTATAGATTTAACTGCCATTGGCTAACTAACTGGCTAGCAAGTGGCAGAGCCACAATCCAGCAATCCAGAGGTGTCTGTGTTTCATTCTGAAGTCCTCCATGTCAGGTGACACTGTGGAGGTTTGGATGAGAACCGTGGTGATTGGCTGGGAGGAAAAGGTGTGACTTTGGTATCTGAGGATTTGCTAGTTCTGCTCCCTCCCCAGGAAAAGAGGAACAGGGGTCCAAGCCTTCCAGTGGTTGCTTACAAGTGCAGTCACAAGAACACAGAGCTCCCAGGTATCTGTGGATCACCTATGGGCACAGGCTACCTGGTGAGTACAATCTCTTCCAGGTTGGCTCTTAGGAGAGAATTTGGTGTTAACAGTGTGGGACCCACAGTGACGGCAACCTCTCTATTCCAGCACACCCAAGGGACACAATGAGCTTCCAAGGATTATTTCAGCTCATCACAGTAATGACTCTAATGGGGTCCTCATCCTCCTCATGTGTTCCTTGAGGGATGGAATTATAGCATGTGGTTGATGTCTTACCAGCTACTGCCAACACTTAACAATACTCCCTATGCTAAACCAGTGAATCTTCAGTGACTCCTCATCAAACCCACAAAGCAGTTATGAGCCAGACAAATCCAACAGCAGCCTGGCCACTGGAGTGGAAATTCTCCCAGCCAGTGTTCACTGCGGACACTCACTGAGGTCCCAAGTCAAGTCCACAAACAAGAAGGTTCTCTGAGCCCAAGGCTCTTCCCTATTCCATAGCTCATTTGGGCCATCAGGGAAGAAGACACTGAGGAGCAGGGGAGAGACATCCACTTCTTTAGGGAGCTAAGTCTAAACCATAGCTTTGGACCAGTGGCCAAGGAAAAGACTAGGAGGAGCTCAAGTTGGGTCACATGACCCAGGTGAAAGGATGTTTTGGGAACAAAGAGGACACGATTTGAAGAAGCCCAAGGCTTACTTCAGCAGTAGGAGAGGCCAAGCAGTCCCAGTGAAAGAGGCAGCCTCGGGTGGAGGGAAGGAACCAGAGAAGACAAGGGACCTCACTCCATTACACCTGGTTTGCACCTATCATGGTGACTCACTCCCCATATTTAAGGCTCCTTGCCTGATCTTTGTCTCAACAGCCTTGCTGGCCACTCTTCCTGGTCTTACTCTCTGTCCTCGCTCAATTCAGACCCTTTTCCACCTGGCTGGTCCTTCAAACTCCCAGGGCTGTCCAGATTACTTCTTGCCACCTCTCACTCCTACCAAGTGACATACTCCTCTGCAAACACAGTTTCTTAACTTCCTACAAAGTATAATCCACTCATCTTTCAGTATTTAAATGTCAGCGTTATTAAGTGCTTCCCATTTTCCATGGGACCCGCAGGAATCAGGCAACCTTAGGCAGGTCAGGGCCTGCTTTGTGCTGACATCACAGAGATATGCTAAAGAATCATTTTCTACACAATAGTTACAGAACCTGCTTCTCTCTTAACCCACAGGGAAGCTATTTGATATGAACAGAGTATGTCCAAATCAGGATTCAGTAAATGTATTCTGAAAAGTACCAGGTTAGACATATGATGGCTCATCCCAGCACTCAGGAGACTGAGTCATCCTAGGCTACATATTAAGTTTTAGTCCTACCTAAGCCTAAATATTTTTGCCTGCTGCAAAAATAAATAAAAGTGCCATAGTGCTAGATAGCAAATCCTGGCTTTCTGTGCCACAGGACCCCTGCCTTTGGTCAGGACAGCCTAGAAACAGTAGACAGGTGTGACTGCTTCAGCAATGCTTTATTTACAAAGAAAGCAGGCAGGGCACAAGGCTACAGTTTGCTGAAGTCAGATATAAATCACCAGCATCCAGAACACCCGCTATACCCGAACACCTTATGGCTGAGACCCAACTTTTTTGAAAAATACCCACTGGGTTTGTTGTGGTGTTCCCACCATGACTAGTACCCAGAGGTGGATTCAGTGACATGAGCGGTGAGGTGGAATTGTGTTGACAGTGAGCTGCACAGAGTGACAGATGACAAAGTGGCAGGTTCTCTTCCAGCTTAAGTAGCAAGACAGTGGGAGGAGGGGATGCTGCTGGAATTCATCAGGATACATGGGCAGCAGAGCTGCAGGATAGGGAGAAAGTGAAGAAAAGCTGGGGACCTAGAACTCCAGAGAGGTATATGGATCACTGAGGTGCTAGTCAAGGGAGAGGAAGTTAAAGGCAGAAAGGTAGCTAGGATAAAGAAGGAGGGGGCTTTATAGTCTTTATTGTAAAATATTAGCAAAGATAATAGCCTGCGACACAGTGGGAGCCTGATTGGGCCAAGGCATGGCATGCACTTCTCTCTACTCATCCAAAAGGAACTGAGGTGGTATTTACTATTTGTGGTTCTTGGGTTTCCAGCTGTGACTCGGTGTGAATGAAGTATGTCACTCATTGACTCATCCACACTTCTGGTCACTTTGTAATGCAGGTACCAAGAGGACCCAACGTGGGAGGTGACAACTCCAAACATGTGGACACACCCAGTTCTTCTGGAAGTATGCTATTGCAACTACAGACAGAGTGGTGGATTTCATCTGCATGCTCTCCAATGTGTAAGAAACCCAGAGATTTAACAAATTCTCGGTGAAGTTGTTCCCTGTAAGGCAGAGAATGGTCTTCACAGGACCACCAAGACACAGCACAGCCTGATGATGAACCACACACAATTTTTCTTTAAAGACAGGAAACCATTTGACTGGCAGGATTTTCAGAATAAACAGTACATAATCATTATTTAGTTGTAATTAAATTAAATTAAGCTTTTAATTTAATAGTAGAGTCTACGCAGCTCTTAAGTTCTCACACAGAAAAATTAGAATTAATCCCATGATCACCCCTATGACATTTAAATAGAAAAGATTTTTGTTAATTCTCTGAGGCTGGGGAGATGGCTCAGCAGTAAAAAGCAGTGCTCTCCAGAGGACTTGAGTTTGGTTCCCAGGACCCACAGCAGGCAGTTCACAACCACCTCCGTGGTCATCTGATTCCTCTGGCCTTCAAAGAGGGCACTACACTGACATTCACACACCGAATGAAAAATAATCAGACCTTCAAAATCTCTTTAGACAGTCAACTTTACTGACCAAAAATACTAGAGACCGAAAAAAGCAAAAAACAAAAACACCAGCATTCTGAAGTTACTTTATTATTTCATTACTGTTACCAGTATTACACTGCTCAAGAGGATTTGGAACTCAAAATTTCACTCAACTCAAGATGACACGGGTTACACCAGCAACACATTTTTTTCCTTGAAATGACTTTTCATGCATTCTACGAAGTATATTAAATAAACTTGTTCTCTTACCCTATGGTAGGATTGATATTCGGATCAAAACTGTCTTCCACGAATCGCCATACGATGCTTGATTTACCCACACCAGTGTCCTGAAAGAGAGTAAGATGTGTAACTGAGGAAAAGCTTGCTATTTGTAGACGCCCAAACCCACTTTGTGGCATAAAGTGGGGAATTTTAGAAAAAGCACCCACATCTGTCGATCTTCTAAGTTGAGGGACACAAAGACTTTTGCATTGCGTCAGTGAAGTAATTTTACTTCAAACTGTATTACTGGGGCCAGGCCCAGTAGTGGATGCTTTTGATTCCAGCACTTGGGATGCAGAGGCAGGCAGATCTCTGTGGTACAAAGATTTCTTAGCCTACAAAGCGAATTCTGTGCCAGTCATGGCTACACAGTGGGAAACTTTTTTTAAAAATATTTAAAAAGTACTAGGGAAGGGTTTTGTAGTTTTTAAGATTAAGAGACACTAGAACCTCTTGAAAGACCCAGGCTGGCCTGCCTAGTGGTACAGGCCTACAATCCCAGCAAATCTGGGAGGTTGAAGTGGGGAAGTTCCAGGTTCAAGGCTTGCTGAGGCTATGCAGACTTCAAGGAGAGCCTCGGCAGCTCCTTAAGATCCTGCTGTAAAACAGAAACAAGCTAGGGATACACAAAGCTGGGTGGGACAGGCTGGCCTAGCATGTACAAAGTTTTAGGTTCAATAACTAGGATGCTCCTCCTCCCTCCACGAAGAAAAAGACCCCATGCTTCTGCCTCTTGAGTAAAGTGACAACTCGAAGGCCTTTTCACACATACCAGGAAACTCTGCGCTTCCAAGCTGGGCCTGAGTAATCCCGGATGAACCCTAGCCCCACCCTAGTAGAGGGGTAAAAAACGTCTAGTTATTGAAATTCTTTTCAGTCGGTCATTATAACAGAAACTCAGGAAGAAGACCATCAGAAGGCTTTGGGATGGCCAAACTACCAACAGAGGACCGGAAGCTGAAGCTTCAAAGTCCTGGAAGCTTCCTGGTATGGACTCCTCCTTTCTCCACTAGGAGAGTAAACTTTTGAAAGTAACTCTTGCAGAAGTGTCAGAGACGTTCCAAAAGTTCAAAAGTATCCCACACTGCAGAAAGTAGGCCAAGGGCGCTCATAAAAACCTAAAGACCTGCTAGGGGGTTAACTTTGAGAGACGTGGCCAACTTCAAAGGAGTCCCTCGCAAAGTTGGAAGGAAACTACCCGCGGGCCGCTTCACTGTGGGATGGAAAGAGGACACCTCTCTGGGGCGCCGGGGACCACCCCGATACCTCGGGGCCTTGGGTGGGGCACAGCCTGGGGGTCCGGACGGCCCAGGGGTCTGCGGAGGGGCGGCATCCCGCACAGGGCGGGAAGGGGTGCAAGGGGCCCAGGGATGCCTGGACCCGCCCACTTGGCCTCCGCCGCCCACGGGACCCGGCCCGCCGCCACTCACCCCCAGCAGGCACACTTTGAGTTCCCTCAGCGCCATGGTCCGGGGACCAGGGGTGCGGGCCTGCCGCCGCCCTAAGTTGAGGGAGAGGCCCGGCCCAGCACCAGCATCCCCCGGCACCGCTGCCGGTGGCACCGCCCAGCCCCGGCTCTGCACGCCGGGCGGCCGTGCCTCCGCCGCCGCCCTTCGGTCCGGCCGACCCGTCGCTTGCCCCTCGGAGGCACCTCAACAGGCCGGACGCTCCCTCGGCCTCCCGGGCGCTACAGCCGCCGCCATCTTGGGACGCCGGCAGGGTCACCTGACCTCCCCGCCCACTTAGGCAGCCACCTTCGCCGCGAGGGCGGGGCGGCCGGCCCGCGGCTCCCAGGCGGATGGGCGGAGCCTCAGGGGCGGAGCCTCAGTCTCGCCCCGCCCTCCAGCTCGGCCCGGGCGCCTCTGAGGAGCGGGCGGAACGGGGTGGGGGTGTAATCGTGGCATCGCCACGCCCCTAGCTCCACCTCCCACCCATCCCCAAGATGGCGGGTGAGCGGGTGCAGGCGGGTGGGCGGAGCGCGGTGGAGGGGCGTGACCTCCGGTCTCGCTCCGCCTCCAGCCCCGCCCTCCAGCCCATCCCAAGATGGCGGGTGAGTGTGTCCAGGCTCCGGGGTCTCCGAGCGGCTCCCCTCCCCCTCCCCGGGAGCCTCCCCGTCCCACCCCCGCGAGCCCGGGACTCGCCGCCCGCGCCGCCCCGCGTAACTCCTTGTGTGCCTTTTGATTTTTCAGAGATCCCCCTGTACTTTGTGGACTTGCAGGATGACTTAGACGACTGTAAGTAACAGTTGGGGAGCCCCGCCCCTCTTTGGGTCTCTCTTGGAGGATTGTAGGGTGCACTTAGACGGGGCGGGAACCTCAGGTCGAGCCTTCCTTCCCCTACGAGCCCATTTCCTCAGGTGACACTGCTTCCCCGGCCAGGACTTGGGTCTGTTGGAAACTTTGACTTCCTGTCAGTTTCTCCCTTAGCTGCTCTGGGAGCTGAGAGAAATCGTCAGGGCGTGTGAGCCTCCTGTACTGTGGCCCCAGCTCCATCTCTTCTTGGAGCACACTGCTTCCCTCGTTTTGAGTGGGTCTCTTCCACTTGACCCTTCTAGCCTGCTCTTTTTCTCTGGGATTATTTTTAAGGGACAGTAGCTGAGAGAGATACTACTTCGACATGCGAGTTCGAATGTGTGATTAATGAATGAATGAACCTTTGGCTTTTCTAGACAACACATTTTTTTCCCCAGTGCCTACCTCTTCCTGGCCAGGTCATTTGATGGGTTTCTGAGCAGTAACAAAGATGAACTAGAAACAGCCACTATTCCCCGGATCTCCCTCACAGGCCCGAGGGGACCAAAGATATATCAGAAAAATAACAAACCCTGGGAGGCTTGCTGGTGTATGAGGCCAGCACAAGTCCCCAAAGTAGCCATAGTCAGCTGGGCCTTCTTGGTTATTGGTCCTCTTCCCTCCCTTCCGGCACGTCCCTAGTGATAAGAGTTGTTGACTGAGAATTTTGGGTAGACCTTGCAGTGTTGAGCACACTTTGTCTCTCTACCCAGAAGGAGTCAACTTTATTAATGTCGCTTGACACTTGAAGAGAAAATAGAAGTCAATGGTGAGGAGGCCTAGCTCTTGAGTCGGGGAGCCGCCAGGTGATGTCCAGTGGCACTGTAGCTGTGCTGTGATCTGGGGCAGGTCACCCTGCCACTTAGAGCCTAATTGGTCATTTCATCTGCAGAATGAGAATAAAAACTGCCCACCTCATAAGTCTTTTATGGATTTGAGGCCAACTTGCTCTACGTGGTGGGTTCTAGGCTGGCCAGGGCCGCATAATGAGGGATTTTGTGAAGATTAACCCCCCATAGAAGGTGACATGAGTTCTTGTGCACCATAAACACTCAGTAAATAGTGGCTGCTCCTCTGGGAAGTAAGTGGGATTATCCTGGCTTACAAATAAGACTGGGAGTCAGAGCGTTTAAGATCTAGTGTGGCATAAAATGGTAAAGAAGACACATTTTGTTCCTCCTAACTCCTGGTCTTTTTGTCTCACTGTGTGGATTGACCTGACAGATACTCTTTACCCAGGAGTTGTCAGTTTGGGTGCTCCTTTATCTGTTGTCTCCTTGGGTGATTTGGGCGGTCTATCTAAATCGGTGGTTCTCAATCTTCCTAATGTCGTGACCCTTTAATATAGTTCCTCATGCTGTGGTGACCCCAACCATAAAGTTAATTTGGTTGCTACTTCATTTCCAACTGTAATTTTGCTACTGTTAGGAATCGGAATGTAAATATCTGGCGTGCAGGGGATCTGATATGTGACCCCAAATCGACCCACAGGTTGAGAACCACTGACACTTGGTTTAGGTCAGGTTCCTGTGGGCAGGGACTCTGGCCATCCTTTTTATAACCTCATGCCCTGTATGGTATAGGTGCAAATTCATATCGATACTGATAACAGTAATGTCTGATTTACTTGGTGATCCTTGATTAGGTTTGGCTGATCTCAGAACGAAGGTGTGATGAGTGGGTGCCTTGCTTTAAGCCTTCCAGAGTCTCCAGGCCAGAGCGGCCCAGAAAAGATGGGATTTTCTGGGGCTGGCTTGTTGAGGGAGGGAGGTAGTCTTCCATTCTGGTTTTCAGCCGGGGTTGCAGGTGGGCGGTAGGGCCGTTAGGGTCTGCCTAGGGAATTCTAAAGGAGTCGGGGTTCGTTTACAGTGCGCAGAGGCTGAAGAGGTGTCACTGTTGGTGAGAGCTGTTCATCCAGGGATGGATGATTGAGGAGTGCCAGGGCTCTATGGCACTTGGAAACAGACTTAAGAGACTAATCTGGAGCACACAGTATGTGGTCATATTTGGATCCTTGCTTGAACAGAACCAGTATGAAATGAAGTGAGATTGAATATTAGATAACATTAAGAATTATTATTTATTATTTTGGTGGTGATAATGGTATCATGTTTTTCTTCAAAGGAAGAGCCCTAACAGAAATAAGCATTCATGAGTGAAATGACTTGGTGTGTGAAATGAGCTTTCAAACGCTCTAACAAATAGCAAACAAAACGTTGGGAGGAGGGATCCACTGGAAAAATTGCAGAATGCTGGTACTTGTAGAAGCTAGTGGCTGGGGACTTTCCTTTCATTTTTTTGCATATTTGAAAATTTCCATAGTAAAAGATTTTAAAAAATGAGATGAAAGTGTCACAAATGATCAGACCTTTGCAGGAGGAGTTGGAAGGCTGGATTTCAATTCTGAATATGCTGTAAGTTATTTTGGGATGCATTTAGCTTCCAAAGACCCTGGTGAAAAATACATCAGTGTTCAGGAGACCACATTTCTTTTCAGATGTTTAGTTTTCAAGAGGTATCAGTGAAGGAACTTGGGAGAGGGCATGCTTCTGTTTATGAGAAAAGCAAGGTGCCAATAAATGATGTCTGGATCTTTGGTGAAAATAGGATTAGCTCAGCTGGTGGAATATAGAACGCTGGAGGGGGTGGTGCCTGTTCAACCTTGAATGAAAGACTTCCAGAGGAAAACACATCGCATTTCACCTACACACTTTGTTCTGTCTGCGACAGTCTCTTTCCAAGAACTGCAGCTACTCTATACCCGCATTGCACCAGTTGCAGACAGTGTGCTAACTTGAACCATAAATGCAGCCATTGAGTTTTTTCTTTGTACAGTGTGACTGTGAATCAAATATTGGCAACTATTGTTTACCGAAATCTCCCTGTCAAGTGAAATAATTTGAACAGAATCAAGAGCTAGTTGAGGATTCTAATACTTGTAGAGCAAACCTCAGACAGTAGACCATTCTTAGAAGTTGACCAATATATATTTATTTCCATGAAGGCTTAGATGGTAATAATTTTGAGCTTTTCAGGCCAGAAGGTATGTGACGCACTTTTAAGCTCTGAAGTTGCATACTGAACCAACCGTGAACTACAAACACACCCTCACACACACCTTGGAATCAACCATAAACCACACAGACAACATACACACATATAGACACACACACCAGCTGTATCCTCACACCCTGTAAATAACACAAATGCAAACACATACATATACACATCCTGAAAGCAATGATACTCCTCCCCCAACATATTTCCGAGAAGTAACTGTAAATCAGAAACATACATAATACACATACACCCCAAACCATATAATGTAAATCATATGAACACAGATGCACGAGTAAACCACACAAACATATACATAAACCTCACAGCTATATACATATACACATACCATAAACTACACACACCACCAACCATACAAAATATATCCATAAAGTTCACACAAATACATAGTCATACATACACACCATAAATCATATAAACATGCCCGTAAACCACACACATCACCAACCACACACAGACCATAAGCCACAGATGTGCATGTATTTGGGCCTGGATGTGTGCTATTGAAGCTTTATTGACGCAAGAGAGGGCTGAACTTGGCTCAGGGCAAGTGGTTTGCTGGTCACCCCCGTGAAATGAAACTGTCACATTGGAGCAGTGAATTCTGTCATCTGTGGAGGAGCTGGGCCCACCTGTCGAGGTGTCTTTCCTGCTGGGTTTGTGAGCAGAATATTTTTTGAGGACCACTGCTTGGTTGAATAACCTCGAACAAGTTACTCATACTTGATGTTTGGTCTCCTGTGGCTGCTGGGGATGAAGACATCCACTCTTTCCTCTTGGTGGATGCGCAGTGCAGGAAGTCCAGAGTGGCTCCCCTCCCAGCCTGGTGCCTTGTCATTCCTGGGTTCTTATGAGGCAAACAGGTAGATGTCAGCACGTCCTGGAGAGTTGTCAGTGTTTGGGTCTGTGCACCTTTCATTAGAAAATACAAGTAAAGTCGTATCATAAAGAAACTTTAGTAAAGTTTTAAACAGAATTTTCAACAAAAGCTAATTAAAAAGAAAGCCTTTTGTGGCTGGAGGGTTGGCTTAGCAGTTAAGAGTACTTGTTCTTGCGGATGACCCAGGTTCAATTCCCAGCAGCTGGGTGTTGGCCCACACCAGTCTGTAATTGTAGCTCTGGGGGGATCAACACCCTCTTTTGAACTCTACAGACACCAGGTGTGGGCGTGATGCATGAATGTGCACACAGGCAAAACACTCACATACACATAAAATAATAAGACAAATCTAAAGAAGGATTACTAAAAATAATAAAAGCAGTAGCTTTTCTTTCTGGTGCTGAGGGTGGGGCCTCTGCACAATAGGCATTGCTCTCTGCTACTGACTCACACCCCCACCAACTTACTTACTTTTAAGTTTTGCAACAGGGTCTCCCTAAGTTACCCAAGAAAATCTAAAGGTTGGGTTTCCAGATGGCGTGCTTTGTCTTCAGATGGTAACATGGAAGGCTTGGGAAGTCTGTGGAAAGGGTGGGGCGACACTAGGAAATAGGCCTGGAGACTGCTAGAGAAGAATCTACATCCTGACCAGTCATATTCAGGGCTAAGCAGAAGACAGTAGACGGCTCTGAATGCTTTGCTTCAGCTTCTGTTATGGGAGGCTGAGGCAGGAGACTCACTTACTCAAGCAGTGGTACAAAACCACTGTTTAGTTTTTATTTATTTGCTTATTTTGTGTGTGGGTTCGTGCATGTGAGTACGGTGCCCATGGAGGCCAGAGTCATCGGATTCCTTTTAGCTGAGGTTAAAAAGACCAGTGAGCTGCCCAGAGTAAAAGCTGGCAATCGAATTCTCTTCTTCTGCAAGAACAGTATGTGCTCTTAACTGCTGAGTCTTCTCTCTAGCCCAAAGCTACCATTTCTTT